CTATTCAGGCCATTGTTTTACGATCTGACATTGAAATAGCTCTGCCGATCAGTGATTATTATCACTTTTGAAGCCCTGGAAACAGGCTTCTGTCACATGATTGGATGAAACATCATCTCGTATATTTCTCCCAACTCCTAACTAAAGTCAACCCCCATCCCAGGCACCTCATGTGCCCCAGCCTCAGCTCCCTTCCCCCCATATTCCCCAATGCCAGACGCAGTTGTCTAATTAAAGTGCTAGAAGAGCATTCACTCATGACATGCCCTAAGGGTGTGCCAAACGGGGCATGTATGCAGGAAGAGGGATAGAACTGGTGAAGGTGAGCAGCATCAGTGAAAGGGTTATATAAAGGGGGAGTGCAAAGGACATAGCAGGGAGGTTATTTACCCCAAGCAGGGACACAATAAGTCTTATCATTCCAGCAGATGAGTTGAGTGCTGTCAGTGTGAACCTCGCTCACCTTTCTGCTCTTGGGAAGCAGAGCAGACACGCTAAACTGCTTAGTATACACAGCACACCCTGACACACATTCATACACCAGTTCACATGTGCATGATTACGCATGGCTGCCCGAAGCTGCAGATAATTTGCCCACAGATACACATACGAACTTAAAATTGCCCCGTATGGGTATAATTGATAGTGCCCCAATGACATCTGTCCCATATTTATCGAGCGCTGTATTTGATTTTCAGTTTGTTGTGCACTGCATGTAAATGCTAAAACAGCGTAATGTGGTTAATATTAAAAAGAATGAATCCTCAGGGTTTAAGGCTACAGAGGCTGTGCTGCGTGCTGTCTAGTGATGTTTGTATGCCTCATTAAATAGCCAGAAGCTCACTGACAAACAGGCCGAGAGCTGCGTGAAGCCATCACATCAGAGCAGCTCTGGACTCAAAAATCAGACACACAGAGATGGACTGATTGCATGAAGCATTACGAAGTCCTGCACAATCAGAAAAAAATCCGCTCTGATTTTTCTCATGTTTGCAGCTGTGCCAGGACTGCTAGTTTGTTCTTTTATTCAGAGAAGAGATGACAGATATAAACATATATGTGATGGGAATTTGGAAGGCTCACAAACTGTGGTTGACAAAGGATAACCAAGATACTAAGTACTTGTTTTAAGTTCATTTCTGTTCTGGCAAATATATGTGTCTAGACCCAGGTGGTAGGCAAAGACTTATTTATCCCTATGATCTGTTGATTTGTTAACTTTTGCTGCAAGTGGTTTTCATCTTCCCAAGTATCAAACTATTGCTTACAGTTCATGGATTATGCAGATATAGCAGTGTGCTAGTTTGAAACAGAGGGTCGCTCATGTAGGACAGTCGTTCCTCTGCTCCTCATCCAGCTGAGCCTTCGACTGCAACCCCATTTTCCATCCTGAGACAGGAATTACGAGACTGTCAGAGCAGCTGTGGCAAAGCTCACTGCACAGAGAGAATGTAACCTACATGTCAGTGTGCAGATAGCTCATCAGCAATCAGACAGCATAGCTTTGCCAACCCATATTCTCTCCTCAGCTTCCTTTTCTGCTGCTGCTGTGCAAGATGTATGCAATAGTTTGATTGTGTGTGTGTGTGTGTGTGTGTGAACCTGCAACACGTGTGTGTTTCGTGTGGGTCTGCACTGCCATGTCTGATAGATGATGTGCTTGTGTAGTAATGAGACGCTCTGCACAAGCGACCATTTTCTCCAGCTCCTCAAGAGGGTTTCAGATGGCAGCGCTCTTCCCTCAGTCATCCTCCCTCTGGATCCCGATCCCGGTCCTAGGCAGTCTCAGCGTCTGTGCTGCAGGCTCCTATCCATCATGAGAGGAAGGGACAAATGTCTAGACTGCACAGATCACTTGCTGCTGACCTGTTCATTAGTTTACATCAAATATGTCAGTGCCACATGTGCCTCTTCTGGGCTGCACAAATCTGTTTTCCAAGCAGGGATTGTTTTTCAGAAGCTGGCATAGAAGATGGAGTTAATTTGATCAATAAATCAGCTTTTTTTTTTTTTGCTTTTATCCACTGCCAAGTAAAAAGAAATTAAAACTTCAATATCCTGGGACTAGAGTAGCTTTGCATGAGCCCTACCGAAAATATTTGTTTTTCTACTTTAAACAACTTCTCAGTTCATCTTTTATCTAAAGCGTAGACTGTATTATATTAATGATGGACACAACCACCATACCTTCGTCATCGGATTTTAAAGTTTCAGTTTTAGTATTTAGATTTCTATCATTTTGGGGTTTTTTGGAGCCAAAAGTTATCTTTTGCAGAGCGTTGAACACAAAATTGTAAGATAAGACTATAGCGAGCTTGGAGCCAGTTTCAAGTGGCCATTAGATGAACTGCAGTTTATGGAAACTATGTCGCCTTTTGTTGAGAGTCTACAGAGTCTGTGATCCTTTCCCTTGAAATCCCGTTCTATAAAAGCTTATTTCTCTCTGATTGGTCACCTTCTGGAAGCCTACTAAGGTACAGCTGCACCACATGTCTTCATGGTAAAGTTTTTGCTCACATGGGTTATTTCACATTATTTACGCCATTATATCTAAAATTTTTACATTAATATACAAGCTACAACGTTCATATTTTATGTGTCAACTGAGCACGACTCAACAGATAATCAACTATAAATCCTTTTTATGTGTTTACAACAAATGCTTTATATCTGTTACTATATAGCGTTTATGTGGCTTTATTTCTAGTCTAGCTTCATATTTCACAGTCAGACATGAAAGTATGATCAAAGTTATACACAAGATTCCCTGTAGGTCTATTCACATACATGTTCAATTATCATTTTAATGGCAGTCTGCAGTATAACCAGCTCAGGAGTTACATTTCGCAATCCACAAAGGTGCAGTATTTGTCAAAAGACCACATGCCTGCCGTGACTGTGATCTTAAAGAATAATCATGCCTTCGAGCAACCTGCCATGGATGACAGGCTCAGTACGCTTTTGTCAGACCGTTATCTGATTTGCGGAGACATGTAATGTACATGGGCAAATTTTTTGATAAATGTACTGAAGAAAAACAGAGAGACAGAAACTGTAGGAAAAGATAAGAGAAGGGAGTATGGTAGGGAGACAGGCTGGCTGGCAGCCCTGTTTATCCAAAAGATGATCAGACAGCTATTCCATTTCTTGTTGTAGAAAATCAATGTTGGAGGAGCCAAGAGATGAAATTTATCTGAAGCTGCCGGTGCAGAGAATATTCCCACAATTGCCTTGACTGTACTGGATAAGTTAATGCTGTATCCTGTGTGTGATAGCTCAGGCATTGCAAACATTCAGAGCTTTCATCCATGTCCTATCATCAGTGGGAGAGCAGGACGCAGCCAAGGAGATTCTGATAAGGGCCAATATCAGCCGGGCGAAAGACAAAGCAAATTTAGAGGTGGAGGTCACGGAGGATGGTTTGTGTAAACAAGGAAAGGCAAAAGAAATGGAAACCACTGAAATAGCAGGGGGCTAATTTATTTAAGAAATGACTCCATTTAAAAAAGTTTAACCTTAGCAGAAACACCACAGCATCATGCTAGCAAATAGGTTCAAGCTTATCCTGGTTATTTGCTTCCTAAGAGAGCATTTACTTATTACTAAATAAAAAGTGGCAAAGCTTAAGATTTTTCAGCTAACTGAATAGATGTTCTCTTGCTAGCTTGTTAATACAGACTGTGGTCAAAACAAAACGTGACAGTCGTTTATTTACGTTTATTTAGCCTATCTGTGTTTCCAGTTCCCCACTATCCCCCAGTTCAATATGCAGTTAACGCATTAAAACTCCTGTTGTGCTGAAGGTAAAGAGCTGTTTTAGGTTTAAACACTGCATGTGTTATCAAGTTGTTGTTGTTGTTGTTGTTGTTTTAAGGCTTGAAAACATATAATCTATAATCACAAAACCTCCACACCACCCAGTTGACCTCAAGGAGTGGTTCTCTGTGTTTAGGCTTATTATTCATGGCCTGTGCTGGGGAACAGAAGACCTCTAGTGGCTTTCTACAACAGCCAGTGTCATCAGTGCATATAGAGTTGTTCTTTAGGTTCGCATTAAGTGCTACAGACTTGCTAACATGGTTACCTGTGCACCTAGGAGCGATCTTAAAATCGGGTACATTTCAGGTATATAAAAAAAAGATTAACCACCCTTACCCGTTTCCATGTTGTTTATTTTAAATTCTGACTGATCTGAATGTTGCCATAGAGTGAGCAACATTTTTCCAGTCTTCTGTTGTGTTGGTTTGGTGAACAAGACGGCAATTGCGTCCTCAGTTTCCTATTTTTTGCTGAGAGGATCAACACATGGTGTGGTCTTCTGCAAGGTTTTTGTGTGTTGTGCGATCAGAGATGCTTTTCTGCATACATACTTGTCACTTAAATCACCTTTCTTTATCACGATTGTGGTACTTGCAGCACTGGACATGTGTGTTTTTAAGCATGTGCACATGTTTCATCAGTACGTCCAGAGCCTTGTTTTGACTTGATCATTTTTGTCCACAAATCTTTTTAAATGCAGCCTTGCCATTGGTACTATTTGTAAGGCTTTTCATTCAAGCATACAGTGTTATTTGTAATGCCGCATTTCTTTGTGATGACTGTGAAGTAGGCCATTGTGTCCTCGATCAAGAAAGTAAGAGTGAGTGATATTAAAGGTTATCTTTAAGACAAAATAGACAATGTGCTGCCAAGCTATCAGTCTTGGAATTTGATTAGTGTACCCAAATAATCATTTGCTCCTGCTAAACAAAACCTTGAAAAGTGCAGTGTGATGTACTTTGACCAAAGTAGAGAGATATAGCGGGGAGTCAGTCAGGGTGGGTGTGGATTTCTTTATAATCACTGGTCAGTACATATGGCTGTTCAGCTGCTCTTGCTCCTGTTAAAGAGCTTTTGTGAAGTTTTCATTTAAATGAGATGAAATGTCCAAGGTCAGAGTGCACCAACAGATTTGTGATATCAGGTTGCATAAAGAAAACTGACTTAATACAGCCAACAAAGTTTCACCTTTAATAAGCTTAACACAGAAACACAGACTTAAAATAAACTTCAGACATATTTATTAAGTAAAAGACTTAGAAGTTAGTGTATGGCATTAACAAGTACAGAACTCAAGTCAATAATTTAAGCAATAATTGGCAACTTCACATGAACATTTAGTTTTGCTTCACTGATATTCTTTGGGGAATTTCTAAAAGGATATATACAAAAAAAAAAAAAAAAACAGAGAGAGAGACTTAAATAATGGCTGTACATTAGACAAATGCAACTTAAGGGTGACATGATGTTCCAGGCAGGACTGAGGAGTGAAAAAAATGACTGCAGTAGTGTTACAAAGACAAGTTTTAGACAACACGTGACGGCTCGGGACATCCCCAACAGTCCGCTGCTCCGATATGTGCAGCCATCACCTTTGCTGTTCCTTCTGTCTAAATGCTACAAATAAAAAGGTCAGGCGCCTTCTCTGAGAGATCCCTCCCTCCTCCTCTCCGAGAAACAGGAACTGCCCCTGCTCACACTGTTGCTAGGCAACACGTTAAATTCCAGTGATCCGCGCATTGCCGGGCTTCTCGGCGCAGACCTACAAATCATCAAGTCCTCCATTAGCCGAGCTGTCAACAGCAGCTAATGCCAGAAGACTCCGGTGAATACAAGAACAACATCATCAGCTACAAAAACACCCGTGACAGCCACAACAAAGCATCCACCGGGGGGGAAAAGGCCGGATTAGGATGAAAATGTATATATATATATATATATATATATCCAAATATATCTAATGCATAAAAAAAGAAATGAGGAAGAAAAAAGTCAGGAGCAGCCTGTTCCTCTCTCAAGGAAACTTAGTTAAGAATTGAGCTTGGAGAAACTTCTCCATATTACAAATCAGTCTGTTAACAGCTTTTGGGACAAACTACTGCTTAACTTCCCCATCAAAATGGCATTTGACAACCTCCCTTGTCCCTTAATGATGACTTTTAGCACCTCAGTATATATCAATAAAGCCAGGGTTTGACAACCTTTAGAGCAGTTTCTGGGTTCTTCCGAGCATAGCTGCATAGGCAGAGATCACCCTCACTAACTTCTGATGCACACCCGGTCATTTTATTCTATAAGCAGGCAGATTTAAAGAGTTAAAGAGCGGATACTGTACCAGAAAGTTCATGAAGCTGGAAAATGTTTTATGGTTGAAGCACCAGACAAGCAATCTTCAAGTGTTTCTTAATACTTGAAGATTGGTAGCTAATCAATGCAAGGCTTGATTAACTACCACTAGCATGGATGTAAAAAAAGAGAAGACTCATTTGCTGTCATAAGAAAAGGAAAAGGTCTAGGCTTCTTCTTTTGGGAGTTATCCTAATGTTCCACACACTTATACAATTTTGGGCCCATTGAGAATGAACATTAGCCACCTTTCCAGCTTAGAAATTATAATGGAGGTTTCATTATTGAAATTGTAGGCCTGTGTCAAGATTTTTGAAAAGAAGGAGAAAAGTATGACCCAATTTTGGTCTTCCTTTTTTAACAGTCCATTGTCCATCAGGCAATTTTCTGTTGGTAAAATTGCTAATCAGTTTCATACCCCTTAAAATCAGCCCCTGGAGTTCATGAACCCTGATAAGCACGTTTATGGCTCCTAAGCCTCCCAGGACTACTTGTCATTAAACGTCTAGCAGGAGAGGGATTTGAAAAGAAAGATTTCTTTTGGTACACTAAAATACATCTATCGAGTTTGTGTTGTGTAAAAGGACATCTTTGTGTAATCGATGAAGGCCCAGCAAGAACAACTTCATTTTTATGCTGGAACATGTATAAAAACCGATATCCATTAAGCAGGGTAAGATGATTCATCAGTGCCATAATAAAGGCCTGTGGTTAGTAACACTGAACAAAAGACTGCCGTGGTGGGTGATGATGGGTAATGGCAGAGAATCCACAAAGACATGCACGTGTTTGTTTATTTGTTTTTAAGCACAGCACGTCCAACCCGTGACTGTTTTGCAGATCATGTGAGTGCTGAGTCACATTGTGCTCCTTCAGACGAGCTCTCGGTTTGTCCTCCCGCTGCCTTTGCAAATGAGCGCTCTGCTCGCCAAACCCCCCCTCTCTCTCTCCACCTTTTCTCCACTGTCAGCTTTAATTTCCAACCGATATACCAAGAGGGGTCAGCTGGGAGAGGAATTTCTCCAAGGCCTGCCATTTTCAATCCCCCGCACCGTATTTCTGTTGATACCAATTCCTGTCAGATGTCAGATTTTACATTTAATCTCGTCACTCAGCCCATACGGTGACCTCAGACAGACATTCAAACAAAGATGGATGGGAAAGGGCACTGCCTTCAGAATTTTAAATGCAGTCAGATGTAATAGTTACAAACCCTTCCTTTGGTAAAGAGGCAGTAGTGACCTTATTCAAGACGATTCACAGCACCTTAAAGCGCCTGTTATGCTCTGCTAGCACATAGTTTAATTGAACATCAAACATAATTCTCTCTCTCTGCAGATATTGTTATGCTGGTGGCAAGTCATGATCAAAACTTCAGCACTGGAGTTGAATATAGAAAGTGATCTTTCTGGAAGCGGTTGACAGGAGTTTGCAGGAGGAAGCTGCAAAGGAGAGAGAGAGAGAGGCTTTGTAAAAATCCACATAATTGCTCTCTTTCCCTTGCACACCAGGCACCCCCGCTGAGCCAGCAACAGTCTCGTTCGTTTGTCCTTTTGCCACATTTATCTTAGTAGTATTCACATGATGGAGCAGCTCTTGGACTTGTCCTTGCTGAAGGTGGAGGAGAGGAGTTCTGTCTTGCTGGGCAGGTGTAGGAGTCTCTTGGAGAGGCGCCGGACTGGGCTGGGCTTATTGGTGGGTTGGAGTTTGTTCATGCAGGCCAGAGCCGCGGTACGGAAAACACTGTGGATGCTCTTCTCTGATGTGAAAGCTGAGCACTCCAAGTAAGCCTCGGCTCCAAGCTGCTTGGCTAATGATGAACCCTATAAAATTGAAGGAAGAGATGAGTCTGGGTCGGAGGAAATCAAAGACAAAGGAGGGGCTTGTAGACAGGATGGAGACAGAAGCTTAAGCAGATACTAAGGAGCAAAAAGTTGATGAGGAACAAACCTGTTCGTGGGAGATTGGAGCCTGTTTCTGATTGGACAGCTCCATGCGGGTGCACACGTCTGTGCGCAGGTCCGTCTTGCAGCCTACTAGCAGGATCCGAGTGCTGGGGCAGAAGTCCTGGATTTCTGCTTTCCACTGCAAAGAAAGGAAACAGGTTTAACTGGGCAAGAATAGACATGAGGGATGGCAGACAACTGATCAATGAGGGCAAACTGCAGGGATACATACCTTCTTGAGTGCACCGTCTACTGTGTCCGGTCGGCTGATGTCAAAGCATAAGAGGACTGCATCTGAGTCGCTGTAGCAGAGAGGCCTGACATTGTCGTAGTACGGAGAACCTAACGAGACAGAGAATTGACCAAATGAGACATTAATTTTCTAAATATGCAATTTAGGAAGCTAGAGATTTAGGATTCCGAGCTTCTCCATTCATTTAGTTTGGTTTTTGCGTCTTGTGATCCATTCTGCTGTCTCTTTAGACCAGTCACTCCCGCCTGCACTGCTTTTCCTGCCTGCTGCATCACCTGGGGCATGTTCACTCTGACAAATGTGTGCACCCCACTGTCTTAAAAAGGCATCGCACACAATGGATCAGCTGCCACAGGTGCAAAGAATGGGTAGCATGCATAAGATGGTGTTCTAATACACCACAGTTTTCATTTTTAATAAATGTTTTGCTTGTTTTAGGGGCTTTGCTCAACTTTACTAATTTACCACACAGTGTATACACCCATTCCTCTGCTAGTTATATGTCAGACTGGCAGTTTATGTCACATCTATGCAACATTGTGGTTCTGATTCTGATTTCTTTTTAGTCATTCAAAGCCTGAACAACGAATTAATGGCAAGAAAATGCAATTTTAAAAAATGAGTGTTTATTGAACCTTCTGACAATATTTTAGATTAATTAAATATTAATTTGAGCATATGAGTTTTAATTTGTATCATATTTGCTACATCTTTTTATTTATTGTTGAATTTACTGTTGATTTAATGTTGAAGTTTTTTTTTGATGATGATGTAAAAGTCTCAAAAACACACAAAATCTCATGTAGCAAATATGACACATTAGTCGTTACGGGGTTAAATTTGCCTGTACTTTGACTTTATCACTGCCTGGACTGTGTGCTTTGTCTGCCTGCCTGGATTTTCCATCCTTGAACCTATTTTTGTAAGTAAAGCTTTTACTTTTTTATTTCTATAACCTGCTTCTTGTGTCGTGCTCTTCGGTCCTAAGAACTCAACCCTCCACAGTCGGCCACTCGGCACGAAACAACATCTCTGAAAACTGAAAGCTTTTTTTCAATTTTGTTAGCCAGCAAAAACAAAAATATGACTGCTCTTTCTACGGTGTGCCAGCTGACAGTATTATAATGTTCCATCACAGTCATCCTACTCACATTAACACAGTACAAACACAAACAGACACATACACCCCTGCCAAGCTCATGAGAGTTTCACAAAGCCTGGAGCCTTCCCACTGATGGGAAATTTTCCAGAAAAGTCCACTAACTCAGTGAGTCAGACAGTGCAACTATCTTTCAATGATTCAATAGAAAACTTTTCATACCAGAGTTTTGAATGATAAAATAGAAACCCTGGTTAAATGTTCAGGTAGACTCTTTACATATTTGTTCTCTAATAAAGACATGAGTGCACTGTGGTCATAAAGGGATGGACATGGTCAGCAATAATACTTGGGTAAGCTGTGGCTTTTAAATAATGCTCACTTGGTACTAATGACCCCAAAGTATGCAAAGAAAAATATTATCCACTAAACTGTCACAACAAACACTAAACAGCTGATGATAGGCAGGATGAATCCATGCTTTCATGACGCCAAATTATGACCCTGCCATCTGTGAGCTGCAGCAGATGCTAAGTTTGAACTTCAGCAGTTTGTCTTGACCATCTTGACGTCTTGCTGTCGTGTGATTGGCTGATTAGATATTTGCAACAAGCAGCTGAACATGTGTACCTAAAATAATGGCCTGTTAGTAAAATTAGTATATCTCTATATCAAAATCAGAACCAGAATACTTTATTATTCCCTAATGAAAAAAAAAAACATAAATTCTAATTTTAAATTCTAATTCTAAACATAAATTCTCGTGCAAGAGTTGGAAGGTTGTGGTTGGAAGGTATGTAACATTTTTGGAAAACACTTTTCTTTATCTTTGTAGTGAAGAATTCAAATAATCTCCATTCTGGATGAAAAGAGATGAAAGCAGCTAGCATGGTTCAACAATCTACAATGTCAGTGGGCTCTACTGTCAGACTGCTTTTCAGTCAAGCACAGTAACTGTTGTTATCGCCACTCACTGAACTGCAACTGATAATCAAAGCTGCAAAAATTTATATGCTTCTTCTTCATTTTTCTGCAATGTTTGTTGTTCAAAACATTATTCAACAGCATCAAACACATTACTCTTGTCACGTCTGCACTGGCAGACGAGTGGAGGTTGAAAGTAGGACCCAAGCGTCAGATGCAGGTGAACTTTATTAAACCGGTAAGTGAAACAAACAAAAACGCAGCAGGAGAGAAACAGAAGCTAAGGCTACGTCCGCACGTACACGGGTATTTTTGAAAACGGAGATTTTCTGTTTTCGTTTTAAAAAATAATCCCGTCCACACGTAAACGCAGAAATGAAGGAAAACGCTGCTAGGAACATGCCAAAGCAACAGGTGGCGATATATTCCTAACCGTGTAGAAATGTTGGCCAATCAGAAATCTAGAAGCCTCGGTGGGGAATAGTAAACAAAGATGTGGCATAGAAGCAGAACCGAATCGTATGTGTGGAGGAACAGTAACTGTGTGTGTATATGTAAGCATTTAAACACTGCAGAGAGTACAATTAACAGTAACAGTATTGTGGAAATTCATTTCACCGAAACAATAACGTGGCGCACAGTGTGACGTCAAAAAAGGCGCACACCTTTGATGCTGCGTTTTCTGCGTTTTCTCCGTTTTTCTTGTCCACACGTAAATGCAAAAACTGAGTTTTCAAAAATATCCACCCTGGCCGGAGTTTTTAAAAAACGCTGTTTACGTGCGGACGAAAGGTGCAAACGCATAGAAAAATCTGCGTTTTCAAAAATACCCGGGTACGTGTGGATGTAGCCTAAGGAACCTATACTGGGAGAAACTAACAAAACGCAGAAATAACAGAATGAAGCAGAAAAAGAACACAGACGAACCAGCAACGCACCCAAGAAAACACAGGGCTTAAATACACACAGGGCAATCAGGGACCGTGAGACAGAAGGGAGACACGGCTGGGATTAATTGGACATAACATGACAAGGGGAAGCGAAACTTGAAACACTGACAAGAGAAACTGACCTTCAAAATAAAACAGGAAACACACCGACAACACTCTAAACACGCAAACTTAACACAGATTGGGGTGACAGAACATAGAAACTTGAAACGTGGAAAAGGAGAGCACAGAGGACACAAAACACTAGAGATAATCACAAACAACCCAAAATAAACAAAACCACAGAATATTAATAAACTTAAGCAGAAACACAGAGTCCACAGACTACAGACCATAACAACTCTCACACAGTGGTATTTGTATAGACAAATAAGATATAATATACAGATTTATGTTATGCTTTTAGGTGGATTGTTGCTGTCTTTTTTTAGCGAACTGCCTCCCAGCTACATCTAGTGTTTTTGCTAACCTAACCTAAACTACTGCTAGCTGAAGCCTTATATTCAACCTGCTACATAAGGAACTGTTATCCATCTTAACGTAACACTTTTAGTTGTCCAAATGCTTCTTTTAAATTTTTAAACAATTACTCCAAAACTTTACGCTGTATTTCACGATCCACAGTTTCAAATACTCAGCTCGATGGAAACCAGCAAAAACAATACGAATTTACATACACCTGCTGCAAAATAACATCAACTTTTATAGCACTGCTGTATAGTACCCACAATTTAATTATGATTATTTGCTTCACTATAGTCTTTTGTGGAGCAATCACTGTACTGAGAGGCTGTGTTGTCCACTTAAATCTCACTTAAAGGAGAGTAGTACCTTTAATACCTTTAGTATTAAAGGTTGATCTTCTGATTTCTTAGCCCTTGCAGATACCTTGACATTATTGCACATTTTTAAAATGTATTTGAAGGCTTTTTCCTCTATCAAACTTAAAGCCCTAACATATAAAAACCTCCTCCTGAGCATTGTATAACACCTTGTTTGTCCTAGTGAATTATGACATTAAGGAAGCATATTTAGCTTACAATTCCAAAAAAAAGCAACTTTTTTTTTTTTTATATCATTCTCAGGAAGTGCTAAAAACAGACTGACAGGACGTCCGCTTTCTATTGTCTTCCCTCTGCTACCTAATCACTCCGCACACACTAACACTAAAATGTAATTTCCTTCTCCTGTCCTCCGAGGTTAACTTCAAGCCTTCTGTGCTGATATAAGAGGTCATAATTATAGCAAAGATAGATTTTTCTATTAGTCCCCCAGCTGGACAAACAAACAATCATGTTATCTTGATGAGCTTTACAGTCAATAACTAAACGTTTTACAACAACATTACTGCCAAGAAGCAACCCTGTTCAAACTAACTCTTGGTTGGTTCAGCCTGTCTAAATGTTTGGACTTAAAGCTGCAAAGTAAGTCAACTTACACAATCTCTATCTTTCAGAGGGAATCAAAGCAGCCGTCACATAACTATCCAGGGTGATGTAAGGCTTGAGAAAGAGGAGGCAGACATATCTAAAGAGGACACAACTTCTAGCACCTACCACCTCCCACACATTAGCAGCCCCCTGCCTGGACACACAAACAAGACAAGCCAAACACACACACACGCACGCACACAAAACCCTTTTAGCTGAGCAAACAGGAGCTGTTGCAACTGTCCGCTCTACTCTCACACAAAAAAGCAAATGGTGGGAGCTGCACTCATCTTTGTACACCAAGAGGACTATAAGTCTGCCTTAATATAAATCAGAAATAAAACAGCCTTTCATATGCAAAGAAACTTAAGATGCACATAGAAATAGGGTAAAAAAAAAATAAAAAATTCTCCTTAGGCAGTGTCAGTAAATCTGAAATGATAATAATTAGTTTATAAGACATATCAAATTCCGTGGACACCGAATACCTTAAGACTCGAGGTTCTCGAGGAACCAATTTGTGCTTCGGGAAGTTATAACACTCACTCTTCATTTCTCTACCGAACAGTTAGCTTGGTTAAATGTGAAAATATTGAAATCCATTATCAGAAAACGTCTTCTACATGTTTGAATAAAGACAACAGGAAAGCGGAATTAATAAGCAAAACAAAGAGAGATGGGAAGCTCGTGTTTATGTTTGTGCTCTAAATGTAAATCGGTCTTATGCAACGTTTCCTCTGGAAAGGGTGACTGTCCAGAAAGTTTTCACTTCGTGGGAGACAAACACACAAACCTACATTAGTTCAGTGCTGCTTTCAGTTACATAAGACCTCTTTTTTCAAAGCAGCACACACCATAAGGCAGTGAGGAGGTCATGCTTCTCTTTACTCTCAGTATCCCTCACTGGTGCCTTCTGTTCACAGCGACTGTACGCCGCACACACACGGTTACACGCATAGTAAAGAAGGGACGCGCACAAACATGCGCTCATCCACACTCGTGTGGACTTCCACCCCCTGCGTGGACGAGGCATCCCCCTCGCCCCCCTGTTAAACAACCCCACTGAAGGCCAACTGGCACCGCTCAACTTCCTCTGAACACAAAACCTCAGCCAGTGCTGTTATGAAATAAATCTGTAGTGCACCGGATGGCTTTGCTTATTGATCCTATTTACATAATTTCTATGTACATTCAAAGGTCAGCTGAAGTTAGCACATTAACCCAGAGGCACAAAGCACACGAAACATTTGGAACTAAAAAACAAAAAACAAAAGAAGAAACAACCGATTGTTTTCATGATACGTTATCTGCTGATTTCTTTTCTTTTCACAGAGGTTATGGCAACATCTGCTAAGACCTTGATTTGTTCAACCTACAAGCCCAGAAATCTTAACTTAAAAAAAAAATCACATTAAAAAAACTAGAAGCAGCAAATTCTGGTGTGTGCTTTATATTTAAGACCTAAATAATCCAATCTACTTTTGCTTGACTCTTTTGTGACATTGATAGCTTGACTTTGTCCACGTTGAGGCCAGAGGCCAGCAAATTCAGGCTTGAATGATCAGCTGAGTGTGCTGGAATTGAATCAGCTGCTAAACTGATTATTTACTTAAGGCCGTTTTCGAACACAAATGGTAAACACCACATTTTTTATTAGTCTAATATCTTTGTAAACTGCATATATGAAGGTTTTGGTCTGGTATTGAAACACACCAGGCTTGCTGGTATTGTTCTCCGTTTTTATGACAGATAATAAGTGATTTAATGTTGAAATCACAAAAAAAGGATGTAAGGATCAAAAAGCAACAACCAGCAGATTTATTTTACGTGTCTACCAGCCATCAGGATTATTTATTCGTAATAACAGTTTCATAGTTTTTCAAACCGGGTCTCTTTTTAATCTAGATTTGGCTCATTAGGATTTCAGATTCAAAACTGGATGTTTGGCTCCAGATGTTCTTAAAGTAATCCAGGCAGGCTTGCGGCTCAGACCTGCCGATCACTGATCTCTCAGCAGATCTCACACCACTGAAAAGCTGCTTAACTGCATCAAAACAGGATTGACAGAATGTGAAGACTGAGTAAACAGCAACAAAACTGTAAGCCAAACAATACACGGGACGTGGTTCGATTCACCAACTCCAGGCTGGCTGAGTTTCCCAATAATGACCCTTTATCCCAGCAGTGAACCAAATTACCTTACTTTACTGCCCAACCTAAGCCGCAAAAGTTAAAATAACACTGAATTGAAGGTAGACAGAAGAGGAGCTCACCTGATGTGTCCCAAAGGCTGAGCTCCACACGCTGGTCTTCAAGCTCCAGACAGGCTGTGTAGTTCTCAAACACAGTAGGGACATAAGTCTGGAAACAATTAAAGAAAGAGATTTAAAAAAGACAAACACACACAGAAACAAGTAGATTTAATTAATCAGTCAGTAAGAAAAGAAATTACAACATATTCTCACATATTATTCTAGATTAAATTTTGCTTCTTTTTTTTACATTTAAACAAAATCAACACATCAGTTCATGACTTGATGCTTAAATGTAAGCAGCATTATATATATATATGTATATGTGTGTGTGAGCTAAAAAAAAATCTCATTATTATAGCTTACACACTATTTATAATTATACCAATTATACCCCCCAAAAAATATGCAGAACAGAATCTACAACATCGTATAAATGAATGATAATGAGACATTTTTTAGGGATTTTTCCTCAGTATTGATCCTAAAACGACTGCAGACACATGAGACGTGTGCAGAAATCTCATACCTCTGGATAGCAGTCCTTCACCAAGACTTGTAACATCGCTGTTTTACCGCATTGGACGTCCCCAACCAGCACCAGCTTACACCTCCCTACAAACGGCTGTGTGAGTCTTCGCTCCTTCATGTTGGAATAAAACAGGGAGACCTTCAAAGGAAGCCCGAGTGCAAATGCGGGAAAGTTTGGTAAATCCTTGGTAAACGCCGGGCACCGTACACGCTGTCCTCCTGCAATGAGTGAGTGAGGCTGAGCAGCAGTCAGTGAAGGAGTCACTGCGGAACTTTATATTGTCGCGCCAACCAATGAGCGCTGCGCAGTGCGCGAGCCGCAGGAGGAGGGCCGTGCACGAGAGCTCATCTTCTAAAAAGCAGGGTTGGAGGAGCAGCTTGTTCACCACGAGTATCCTTTTATTTAATAGTACAAACGAATGTTCTTCTGCTTTTATTTTGGACACTTTGTTTACTGTTTATGTGGGACAACAGAGGACACAGTAGACCAGGGATGTTAAACATAAGTCCGGAGAGCCAGAATGGGCCACCAATCAGGGTCTGATCCAAACCACTGGATGGCTTGGAAAATGTGAAAATTTTAAAAAAGGAGAGCATCATTTTTTTAGGTTTTTTTTTGTTTGTTTTGTGTTTTAAAAAAAAAAAACATACAAAAAAGTGTGAAATGCTGCCCTCCCTGGCTAGACCAAAAAAATAAAAATAATAATAGATAAGCAGAACTTGAAAATTAACAAACCATGCAGTTAACAGGATTGACATAAATAATTTCATGGGCAAATATCTATGTGTAATTCATGTAAAAGTATCTACAATGAGCATAAATAATGTCACAGTACAGTCACAGTTTTTTCTTGTCAGACTCTCAAAATGTGGGACACATTTTGTAAGATAAGGTTTACTTTATACAGTGGGGCAAAAAAGTATTTAGTCAGCCACCGATTGTGCAAGTTCCCCCACCTAAAATGATGACAGAGGTCAGTAATTTGCACCAGAGGTACACTTCAACTGTGAGAGACAGAATGTGAAAGAAAAATCCATGAATCCACATGGTAGGATTTGTAAAGAATTTATTCATAAATCAGGGTGGAAAATAAGTATTTGGTCAATAACAAAAATACAACTCAATACTTTGTAACATAACCTTTGTTGGCAATAACAGAGGTCAAACGTTTACTATAGGTCTTTACCAGGTTTGCACACACAGTAGCTGGTATTTTGGCCCATTCCTCCATGCTGATCTTCTCGAGAGCAGTGATGTTTTGGGGCTGTCGCCGAGCAACACGGACTTTCAACTCCCGCCACAGATTTTCTATGGGGTTGAGGTCTGGAGACTGGCTAGGCCACTCCAGGACTTTCAAATGCTTCTTACGGAGCCACTCCTTTGTTGCCCGGGCGGTGTGTTTTGGATCATTGTCATGTTGGAAGACCCAGCCTCGTTTCATCTTCAAAGTTCTCACTGATGGAAGGAGGTTTTGGCTCAAAATCTCACGATACATGGCCCCATTCATTCTGTCCTTAACACGGATCAGTCGTCCTGTCCCCTTGGCAGAAAAACAGCCCCATAGCATGATGTTTCCACCCCCATGCTTCACAGTAGGTATGGTGTTCTTGGGATGCAACTCAGTATTCTTCTTCCTCCAAACACGACGAGTTGAGTTTATACCAAAAAGTTCTACTTTGGTTTCATCTGACCACATGACATTCTCCCAATCCTCTGCTGTATCATCCATGTGCTCTCTGGCAAACTTCAGACGGGCCTGGACATGCACTGGCTTCAGCAGCGGAACACGTCTGGCACTGCGGGATTTGATTCCCTGCCGTTGTAGTGTGTTACTGATGGTGACCTTTGTTACTTTGGTCCCAGCTCTCTGCAGGTCATTCACCAGGTCCCCCCGTGTGGTTCTGGGATCTTTGCTCACCGTTCTCATGATCATTTTGACCCCACGGGATGAGATCTTGCGTGGAGCCCCAGATCGAGGGAGATTATCAGTGGTCTTGTATGTCTTCCATTTTCTGATGATTGCTCCCACAGTTGATTTTTTCACACCAAGCTGCTTGCCTATTGTAGATTCACTCTTCCCAGTCTGGTGCAGGTCTACAATACTTTTCCTGGTGTCCTTCGAAAGCTCTTTGGTCTTGGCCATGGCAGAGTTTGGAGTCTGACTGTTTGAGGCTGTGGACAGGTGTCTTTTATACAGATGATGAGTTCAAACAGGTGCCATTCATACAGGTAACGAGTGGGGGACAGAAAAGCTTCTTACAGAAGACGTTACAGGTCTGTGAGAGCCAGAGATTTTCCATGTTTGAGGTGACCAAATACTTATTTTCCACCCTGATTTACCAATAAATTCTTTACAAATCCTACCATGTGGATTCATGGATTTTTCTTTCACATTCTGTCTCTCACAGTTGAAGTGTACCTCTGGTGCAAATTACTGACCTCTGTCATCATTTTAAGTGGGGGAACTTGCACAATTGGTGGCTGACTAAATACTTTTTTGCCCCACTGTATATCCCAAAAGCAGGCGTTAGAGCAGCCAAAACATTTTTAAAAAATGGCGTGAAGCAGAATACATAGTAAAAACAACAAAAAAAGGATTAAAGATTAAATAAAATGCATTTTAAAAAGCAAAACCGTTAAATATATATATTAAGGGGTGAAAAAGAATAAAAAGTAGTGTTTCATTCCAAGTGGGACACCTGGTCACACTTATAAATATCATCAGATTCTTGGTAAATATATATATAGCTCTTTTCTACTCTAACTGTGCACTCAACACACCTATCACAGCTTGCCTCATTCACCCATTAACACTAGCACTTTTTTCTATGCTCTTTCTATCTAACATTCACACACATTCATATGTCAATAGATGCATCGGAGAGCAACTTGGGTTTATTTAGCATGCACACTGGAACAGACCACCTGAGCTACAGCCACCCCAAAAAGCTTATTCACAGCTCCGTTTGCCTGTTTGATTCTGAAACATTGATGGCTTTCCCAACTGCCTCTTTAGATTCAATGATACTTATCAAGCTTATGTGCTCATGGCTTCTTTTTTTTAAAAACGATTTTAAAAATGTTTTCTAAAGGCTCAAAATACTCCAAACTGTGTTTTAGTCATTTTCATGCCTCTTGAAGTCAATATCAAGCATCCAACAGTGGATTTTGGAACTTTGAGTCAGGATAACAAATACAGTGTATAACTCATGACATGCAGTTAAACCTCAGAACTGAAAATATTTGCATTGGAGTTCTAAATTTTCTACTATTTCTTGTTAAAGGTTGTTGGAGACTTTTCACAGAAGTATTATAAAATGTTAAAGAAGGACATTAATTTCAGTCTGATGGGAGCAGAAAGAAACAAAAAGCCCCTCTGTGGCCAAATGACCTCTAAAGTTCACTAATTATTTCAGATATTATTTATTTAACCTGTTAAAACAAAGATTAAAACTTTCTATTTTAAAGCAGGTTTATGTGCAAAGTTACTTCTGGGCACGCAGGTGAATTTAGGGTATAGGGGCATCCAGCAGTTAATCCAGATGTTTTTGTGCCCAGCCAATCCAGTATTTCTAGAAATAAACAGATTAAAGACAGTATTATACGGTGAGCTCTGCTAAGCAGATTTTTATTACCTTTGGGCAAACCCAGGCAAGCTATTTCCCCCTTTTCCTGGTTATTGTCAAAAGTAAACAGCTCCGTGACTCATGGTTAACAGACAGAAATGAGAGTGGTATCTATTTGGTCACCAAATTCCCAAATTAACAGGGCAAATAAGCGTCAGCAGTGCTAAATTACGGTATCTCTTTAAGTAAACACAAAACCCTTTCAGTGACAGTAAATCCACAAGTTTAAGGGGATTTTCATTGTCTTTTGTTTTCTTCCTGGAAAACTTCATGCATCTCTGGCTATGACTCTAATTTTGTTCACAGCTAATAAAAACAGATACTCGTAGGGAAATGTTTGCCAACTTTGCTGGAAAATGTGATTCATGTAAATCAACTGCTGTGCAAATTCCTCTTCTGTCAGGCGGTTTTTGTAGGTGCATCCAGGAGTCATCAAAAGCACCTCATCTGTTATACGAGTGGTGTCAGTGAGGGTTTTGTGTGCAGTGTAACAACAAAGTCAGCAATGAGCGCAAGAAAAGACCAGAGAAAATAAAGCATACCCATACACAAGTTTTATTCTCCCCCTTAAACCTTGCCATACCTAAGGTCAAAGGTCATTTTGTCATGAAAAGGCTCAACTGAAATGGTTCAAAGTGTAGGATCACATACAAATAAAGCTACTCTGAATCTGGTGATGTAGACGTAGCCTGAAAGACTCTGTTAATTGAATTCATGTGTCACAGTCATGTAAGGATGAAGTTATTTTCACACAAAACATATGAGTGACTGTATGTGTGCACGTGTTTGTGTAACATACAGTGTGCAGCATACAGGGCAAAGTGCTGCCTGCTAAATCAAACAAATGACAGTTGGTTTCATCAGTCTGGACAAAAACAGATAATTCGAGAGTGTCAGCTGTGTGGCAGAGAGGAAATGGAGCATGGTGCGGTGTGCACAACATAAATGCAGAGGGCTTTTTACGAGAATAATGTAATGTGAGAAACTTTGAATGGACCAGAAGCTGCAACCTGACAGAGAAACCACGTAAATGTCTCCTATTGTCTTGCTTCTGTTTATACACTCTGTTACCTCACTTCCTCAAGCTCTATTTCTCCCTGTATCTTAGTGTGAAACACCCTGCATACTACAAACACTTTGGTGGACTGTTTGTTTTAAACGAGTTTGCAGGAATTTTTGAATGACTCAATCGCGAGGTCAGCCTCCTCAGATTAACATTTCCCCATTTGTGAAATCTGTGAAAAGCCAACAGTGACAGTTTGAAGTTTCTGTGAAACTCAACATTTTATGACTATGTTGTTACTATTCTCTCCAGAATTACATCATTTTATTTAGACTCAAGTAAAACCTCATTAAAGAGTAGCAAAATAGGGGTGGTACTTGCTGTTTATGTACATAAACAGAAGATAAAGATGTAACCAAGTGTATGTTTATGTACAGCAAATTGTATTTACAACCATCTATTACCTAAAGAATAAATGTATTACTACACACTGTTCGCCTACATTAAGGTTATAAAGAAAAATTGGTATCCAAGATTTTGTACATCGAATATAATGTAGTAAAAATAAACTTAACTTTCATTTTAAACTTGTTTTGGGGTGATTGTTTCTTTGTTGTAGCAATCTTGAGTTGA